CCTTTGCACTTTGCTGCCCTGCTGCCTCCCCCCACCCTCACAGCTCCCATGAAAGGACATTGAAAATATGCTAGACTCTGTCCCAAGCACTGCACAATCTTATCTCATTTAATACAGCAGCAAATAGTACCATCTGCATCTTACACGGAAGGAAACTGAGGCTAAGGAGACTAAGTAACCGGCTGGTAGGTAGCAAAGCACCTACTTTCACCATCACACTACCCTACGTCCCGAATCTGAAACAGACACAAGACCCGGGTATGGGGAAGGATCATTTTCTTGAAGGCGTAAAAGTTTTTGCCACAGATTTCCACCTCAAAGAGATGAAAACGAGCCCTTCTGGAATCTTCTAATCATCGAATAGGAAACTTGGTGTCAGTAGGCCAGGAAGCTGTCATCACCGTTCTTCATTACGCTAATTGCTTTGAAGATGAAATATGGCTGGTTTCGCCTCTTTATCCTGTTCATATTCATAGCTCTGCTACTTTGGAATATCATCTGCTCTGGGTCAGGGAAGGCTCTTTCCCCCCATTAGAGAGAGGATACAACTGAAGCCCGTACGTAGCAGGTGGATGTCTCACCAGGATCCCACAGCCAGTGGGAGGTAGTCCAGTGTCCCAGTGACCGGCCTCGTTTGCCAGGCTGCCCAGTAGCCACCCTTTGCTTCAGCCAGGCCCGCCTACTCACTCTCTCCCGTGCAAGCGTTTCTCACTCCAGACTTTGTATTTTCTCTCACGACTTCTTCCCATCCTAGAACAGCCTCTTCCTCCTAAATACCCTTCACCCCATCTGAACACATCTAGCCCTGCGCAATCACTCTGGCCCCTCCTGGCCTCTCCCACTTTTACGTTCACTGCACTGCACCTCACCAAAGATTAATATCAAGGCTGCACTTTCCTACTTAATTATGCCACTTGGATCGCGCTCGGCTGCCTCAATAGATGCCAGCCCACTCAGACTGGGTTGAACCATCTATACTTCGGGGTAATTCCCATAACACATGTTGTAGTGCTGAGTCACAGGAGAGATTTATAAGTACTTCGTGACTGAGGTCTATATAGTCTCGTATGCTGAAAGCGTCCTTTTCCTGCATGTTTCAGGCAGGGATACTGACTTCTATATGTAATAATATGCTATTGACTAAGGGCACACTTTGGAACTTTTCACATTCTCTCAGCCACACCTCTTACTCCAGCCACCTCTGCAGCAGCCAGCCCTGCACAGGTTCCCTCTGGGGCAACATGACAGCACCTCACCTCTGGCCACGCCATGCACCTGTTGCTGCCTGCCACAGGGCTTTCCGGTTGCCAAGGCATGGGACCAAGCTTGGAGCTTACCACTGCTATGGAAATGTGCAGAGGAGTTAATAACCCTAGGACCACCTTCACTAGGAGAGACGGTCAGCCTAAGGATAAATGTTTCCCCAGGACAGACAGTTCTGAGACCTTCCGAGGTTCCTGCAGGACTGAGCGCATGTTGCTAAGACAGTGGCCAAGGCAGTAGCTGTCCTTGCTTCCTTATTTCACTCTGATCTTCAGTCCCACTCTCTGCCAGAGATCTCAACCCAGGCTCTGCTTTCCGGAGAACCAGGCTAAGACAGTTTTCTTAGTCTGTTTGGGCTGACTCAACAAAATATCAGAGACAGGGTTGTTTAAACAACAGAAATGTATTTCTCACAGTTTTGGAGGCTAGAAAGTCCAGGATCAAGTTCCTGAAGGTTTTGGTTTTTGATGAGGTCTCTCTACCTGCCTTGCAGATGGTTACATTCTTGCTGTGTCCTCACATGACCTTTCCTTAGTGCCTGGATGGAGAGAACTCTCTCTTCCTCTTCTTATAAAGTCGACCTTATCTAGGACCCCACGTTTAAGACCTCATTTAAACTTGATTAACTCCTAAAATTCCTATATCCAAATACAACTACATTTGGGGGGTTAGGACTTCCACATATGATTGGGGAGCTGGTGGGACACAATTCAGTCTAAAGCTGACAGTGTTAATGCTCAAAACTATTGGTTTGGTCCTGGCTAACAGGCAGCTGAGAAAGGCAAGGTTCCCCAAGACCCCATCACCTTCCTTTTATTTTTTTAAAGCTCCCTTTTGCTTTCTTCCCTCCTCTTATGTTTTAATGACTAGCGTCATAAGCAATGTTTTGTTTAATGACTATTTAGGAAAGATCTTACATTAGCCTGTTCTCATAAATATTGAATGTTTCTAGTGTTCCGCCAGTTATTTGAAAGACTACCCTTAGAAAGACTACATTCTAGTCAGGGTTTCCTAGTTTAGGGAGGAACTTTTGCCAAGTTAAGGAGTAACCTCTTCTTAGAGCAAATCACTTTGCCTTTCTGGACCGGTTTTCTAGGTATAAAGTGGGAGAACTCGGTAACAGCTGTAACACGGGATAACCCAGCTATTCTGCTGGGTTAGGAGGATCCAAGGAGACGGAGGGCAGAGGTAGTCTGTAAATGGAAAAGGAGCTCAACAATGGAAGAACCTTCAGTGTACTCTGGAGTGAGGAGGGTGGAGACCCCGGCGCACCCCCAGGGATCTCTGGGCTCCACATTCCAGGGGAGAGGAGGTCCAGAGCGCTCCCAGCGCGCCTGGGTCCACGGAGCAGCTCGGTTTACTCTAAACTGCCTGCTGCCAAACCCGCAGTGTTTACCATAATCCGGGTGGCTTGCAAACCCAGATGTCAGACTTCCCGTCCCAGAGATTCTCCACTCGCTCACCCCCAACTCCTATTTGGCCTCCGCAAGAAGGAGAGAGAAGGCTGGAAGCAGGAGGAGCGTGCACGGGGCAGCCTCACCCCTCCACTCTCCCCACCCCAAAGGCAGGAATTTCTGGGATGGGCAGATGGTCCACCCCCTCTTCCTCCCTCCCGCTCCAAGCCGGAGTGGCTAGGGCGGGGAAAATCTCCTAGACTTTTCCGCCTTCCAGCCCATAACCCCGAGTGTCCGCACACTGTGGCGACAGGGGTGACGGTGACGGAGTGGATCTCCGGGACGCAGGGGTGGCGAGGCCTGGGGGAGGGGTGGAGCGCGGCGGAGGCTGCAGTCCCGCCTCCCCCACCGCAGGGCCGGGCGCAGTGTCCGGCGAGCCCAGTGGTTAGCGATGGCGCTGCTGTCGCTGCTGCCACCGCTGCTGCCGCTGCTGCTGGCGGTGCCGGCGGGCTCCGCCGAGGGCGCGGCGGTGGCACTCACCCCCGAGCGGCTTCTCGAGTGGCAGGGTGAGTGTCCCCCGGCCCAAAGGGACCAGATGGGCACGTCGGGGGCGGGGGTGGGCAAGAGGAGGAAGGCGCGAAGCTGGGGCGGGCGAGGGCGGCCGGGATTACACGGTGGCCCGCGTCTCTGCCGTCCGGAGAAAGCCCTGCGGATGGGCTAGTCCTGCACCGCGACAGGCCCTGCACCCCTTCTCCCGCCCCGCTTCCTCCAGGCTTCGGTCGGGGGCGCGGCGTGGGGCGGGGCCTCGGCTCGCAGGCGGTTTGACTCGGCTGCGGCCGGGGACAAGCTGCGCGTAGCAGGGTAGGAGATGTCTCGAATGTAAACTTTCCTAGAGCGGTGTATTTGGGAGGACCATCTCTGGGATAAATGATGGCAAAAAGATGTCCCATTTTGTCCCCTCCCAAAGCAAGCGCTCTGGGTGTACGCTGCCACCTGCGGAGTGGCCCCAAGCCTGGCTTCTCCTCTCTGCCCCTTCGGGAAAGAAAACAAAAGGGGCCTGTGACAGACATAGGACCACTGAGGGTAAAATGTGATCCTTCGCAAGGCACACGGCAGGCCAGCGAGTGGAGGGTTCCTGCGGAGTTACCACTGCCATATACACGTGTGCATGGGATCAATTGATCAAACATTTATTGAGCACCTACCGTACATAAGATTCACAAAGGGCTATGGACAGAGACAGAAGGAGAGATCCCCGCTTCCGTAAATAACTGTACGGGCTGCCTCTGAGGCAAAGGAGCCAGCGTGCAAAAGTGCAAGCCCGTGTGTGAAGGGAGGAAAGAGGTTGGGAGAAGCTAAATAAACCGGGAGAAGCCTCCAGGCAGCCTCCATACTCTCAGCCTTTGGGGATAAGCTTGGACAGAAGGAGTAAAACATGTCACCAATATCTGTGTTTATTTTTTTCCCCTCTCAACATATTATGTATACATTTTGGAGGTAATCTTCTCTGGACTGTATTCTCTAGCATTCCTAGGAGGCTTTACCGGGGAAAGGTTGAGCAATTCTTATTCTAAAGTGGCCGAAGGTCAGAGGCCTCTTACCTCCTTTGTCATTTCAATAAAAATGCTCCTGCAGATGCGCCTGCGACCCCATGGGGTGATCCATCTTCACTAACAGTCGCTGTGCCACGCTTATTTCTTTACATTTTAAAATGTGGGTCTTGCCTGAGCACTAAATGTCTGTCTAGAATTGGGCAGCAGCCGGGAGGACAGAAGCTGGAACCTAGCCACACAGAGAGAATGTGCTGTTGTTCCTCTGAGCCAGGATTAGCACCGATGGGCTAATCCCTTCTATATGTAGCAGATCCAAATCCTGGCTGAGATAGTTTCTAATCGGTGCCTTCTTTTTAATAGTCAAGGACACTATGAAGTTAGAATCATCCACTACCTCCTGTCCACTCCAGGTGACAGTTTGCAAATCTGAAGGCATTTGACATAGTTGGCATAGAGATTCTTCAGATGTGAAAATGCTGCTCCTAATTTCTGAAGAGCACAGAGACTGTGTGACATTGACTGCTCCAATCCTCACACAGGCTCCCCTCCTTGACTCCAAGCACTCACATCAGTGGAATTTCAAGTATAATCTAGATGGGTTTAAAATCAGGTTTTTCCTGTTTGTCCAAAGATGGAAAAACAGAATCTTAGCATTAGAAGGGCCCTGAGACATTGTCTAGTCCAGCCATCCATTTTTCAGATGTAGAAGCTGAAATACAGCAGTGGTTTTTAGCTGTGTTTGGGTTCCTACATTTGCTGTGTTCACTGGACTACATTAACTTACTCTTAGCCATGATTGGCATCCCCAGAGCAACCAGGAGAAAATATGCACCTATGTCAGTTTCACATCCACTAATAAGGGATAGGTAGTGATACAAGGCAGATTATACATATAGTGTTTATCATCTGAACATTTCTTTGATATGTGTTACTGATTGATCTCTTATTTATTATATGTATCCCAGCCTTGAGAGGCAGATGATAGATAATATTGTCGTGACTTTTTCAGTCATTTACCAATAAATTTGTATTAAAAAATCAGTAGATGCAGTGTCATATAGTAGTTAAGTTCATGGGCCCTGGAACCCGATTGTCTGGGCTCAAATCCTGGCTCTACCATTTATCAGCTGTGTGACCTTGGGCAAGTTACTTAAGGTCTCTGTGCCTCAGTTTCCTCATATGTAAAAATGGAACTAATAATAGTACTTACCCAAGTATTGTCCTTTTGTTTCAGTATCATCACGGTGCCCTCTTCCTCTGGCCAGTCCAGACCATTTTGACGTGTTGACAGCCCTGTAACAATTACTTCCCTGTGCACAGCACTGTACTTGGCATGTCTGCAGCCCCTCTCCTACCTCTAGTGGCTATAGCAAGGGACCTCATTGTGGTTCTGAAATCTGAGCCCTTCATTCTAGCAAGTGCTAAAACTTGATAATTTCATTCAAGTACCCCAGATACTGGGAGGGTAGAGGGGAGATCAAGGAAGGGGACAGGGCATCCTGGGGAAAAGTGGGCATAGTCTCTGTGGAGGTTGCTAAAGGAAATGAACTGGGGGCAAGTAAAAGAATTTTGAAGCGACGTTGAGGGCTGAAAATTTTAAATGTGAAATGGCCCCAACCAACATAGTAAGAGAGCTTCCCCTACAGCACTCAGCTTCCCAGCAGCAGGGGTGGAGGGAGCCCACGGCTGTGTCAGTCCTCAGAGACGGTCAAGGCAGGCTCTTTTGAATGGCCAATGACCAAGGGAAGTGAGGATGAAAGTAAAGAGATGAGAGAGATGGCAGAACAGGAAGGGTAGTGATTATACAATGGAAATAATGAATTTTGGAGGCCGGTCCATTCTCAGTAGTGACCGGGTCCAAGGTATTGTTGCAGGAGTGGTCACTAAAGCGAGAACAAGTGAAAGAAGGTCCTCGGAGCAGAGGGTGGGGGGGGGGGGGG